AATATACACCTATTATCTATTCTGTACGAATATTTCGACGGAGCTAGTCAGTGAAATTTCTGTTAAATCGTTCGATACGACGCGTATTTGACGAAGTACTTTGATCAGGGATGGAAAAGGACGCGTGATGTTTATAGTGCAAAGGTAATAAGACAAACGAAGTTACGACCGCATTTGTAGTTTATCGATACTTCGTTTCCCGCGCATGCGGACATTCCACGGGGATTGAATTATCGATACACGTTGCCTGACACGTTGACTATCTGGAAGAAGGTGGCATCTCATTCTCCTCTTTTCAATAAAGCGACTTTATCGGCCAGATAAATATTATTAGCCAATAAGCACATGCTCTCGTACTCAATACCTCGGTACCTCATCGCACAGTGTACAGTGCTTCCGTTACTCGCCCTCTAAAAATCTCATAACCGAAAACTACATCTTTTTTATTTTAATAAAAAAAAAAAATAACAAAAGTATTCTTCACTCTGATATAAAAAAAAAATATTTTAGATACAATGCGGTAATTTCGAAAATGTACGTGTGCTATTTTCGCAATTTCATTGTTCCACGTCATAAAAGTGATGCTACATTCGCCACAAAAAGAATAAAATACGATGTACGTCTCATTATTCAGAAATTGGGATCTGAGCTATGTAAGCGCAAGTTCGTCCACGTTACATTTCTATGGCGAAAGAGAGAGGGAGGGAGGGAGAGAGAGAGAGAGAGAGAAAGAGAGAGCAGGCGGAGTTACATGAATAAAATGGCAGGAATGAAAAATAAAACGAAGGCGAGTGACCCACATGACTGTCGTGCATACGTGTAAACACGGCGCGCCGGCATGGCACTCATGTGAAAGAGAATGACTTATTCACTGAAAACCTCGCCCAACGGCAGTTCGGATGTGTGCAACTCCCGTTGGAGAAATCCTTGTTTTTTTTTTCCTTTCATCCCCCTTCACTCCCGCTTCCACTATTCGCTATGCCTCGCGATCCGGCGTCCCGCGTGCTAAGAAAAGGGCGAGAAAATAGGTCCCGCGCTCCTCCAGAGTGCCATTCAGTGCTGTAATTTATTCCAGTTTCATGAATCCCCTTTTGCAACTCCCCTCGCCGCCCCGCGTCCCGTCGTCCTTTTCACTTATGCCGTTCTTTATCAGAGACTGCTCCGCGCCCGTTAATCCGAGTTACCTCCCTTTCTCGGCTTTTCTTTCTACATCGTCTATAACCAACCCCCATCGTTCTCCTCCCTTCGTCGCGAACGCTGCCCTGCTCGTGCTCTCTAATTTATCTTGTCAAGCTTTCATTTCGTCCATTACGGACTTCTTTCAAGCTGCAAGTACTTGTTGCACAGGTACGATTGATATTATGAATTCCGCGTTACTCTCTTTAAAAGCATGTCGCCGAGAAGAAGTATAAGATGCGTCAGGATCCTTCAGCGCAAAATACCGTTGTCGTCGTCGCGGGGAGTCGACAGGAGTGAAGTCCGACGATCTCTTTCTTAGGTCTCTTAGCAAGCGTGTAAATCTAAATCGATATTCCGGCACCAGCCGGTACAGCGTGCAATAACTCTCGGCTTCGTAATATCGAGCGTGCCGGCGCGGCACGCTCTACGCGCCACCCGGGGAGAATAATATTGAAATCACACGGGGTTGCACGTCGTCGTCATCACCGTCGGGGTCGTCGCCGTCGGTAGTCGTCGCAAGTAGGCCAGCAGCTCGAAATAGAAACCGTCAACTGGGGCAGTCAATGCCCAACGTAAGACACCATTCGTCGCGGCACGTTCGCGACTTTTCCGCACCGACTTTTCCGTACAAACGTACTCTCGATCTCTCTTTTTCCTTTTTATTTTATCTTTTTTTCTTTTTTTCGAGGGAGAAAGATTGCCGTCCGTCAAACGCGGGATATCACTGCGTTGCCTCATGTGCCAAACGTGGCGATCTACATCTCCAAAAGCGATTTTCCGCTGCAGCGACGAATGTCCGTCGGTGACGGCGGGATTTATGCGGGACCAAGACTTACGATTCCGTCGACCGCCGTTCCACGCTAGTGGTTTACGTGCTTCGCAAACCACATTCAGCGTGATCGTCGTTATCGTCGAACCCTTTGCGAATCGATCGCAAGACGCGATCTAATCAATTTACGTCGCGGAACTTCGTTAGCGACGGTAAAATTTTGCTGCGCTGAGTTTCCACTTTCGAAAATTTTATCTCTATAACTTCACCGATGAGTAACTTCAAATCCAAGTGTGTAATATTTCATGTATATGCGATTTACTTTTTCTTGCGTTTCAACGAAGAAATAGTTTTGGTTTTAATATAGATCTCAGTATGTGACGTATAAAGAAGAATAATTTTTACTTTCAATATTAATTGTTTAATGTGGATCCAACTTATGATGTGACTTCATGATTGATTTTTATCTTTATTATATTTTAATATTAATTATTAAGAATTTCATATATTCAATTTGTTTCCAAACTATTAATTTATTTTAAATTGTAATTTGGCTGAAAAAAGACTTAGTATAGTTGAAATGTTCCATGTATTATATATTAATGGATAAGTAGTTTTGATCTCTTCTTGATGTTTTAGTAAACTAGTTTTAATCTTTGACCTAATTAATTGTTTAATGTTTCTATCAATTCTATTATATTGGCATTGCAATTCCGAGCTAGAAAATTGATATTATTGTATGTAATTTAGTTTCTCGTGTAAAAATAACACTATATTATATGTTTAAATGTGTAAATTCTGTTTTGTATGCAGCATAGTAGATTGGTTTTACAGGGAAGACTAAATCATTCATATGAAGTCACTTATGACACACTTGGATGTGCAGTACAGCTATCAATCAAACCCAAGATCATTGAGCCTTGTTACGTCATAATCGTCGCAATTTTGTCGTTAACTACCATGTAACGAAATACCGGTATATGAGACACAATTCACGGCTCACGATTGAAGATCTAATTAAATCTGTGCTATCTCTCCGTATTAAATATCGTGTGCACGAGAGAAGGGGAGGTGGATGGCGACTTTATTTCATTGGATCTCTCGCGTATCGTTGTACGGATTAAATGTCTTGAAGCAAATGCATTAATACGAGCGATAACGCAGCGGATTTTAATGCAGGCGTTTACATGGGCCGTTTTAGCTTCGGAGGTTCGCTCAAATATACGTGCTTACCGGCAGTTTTAGCATCCGGCTTAACAGGACGTAATTTTCCACAACGGCGACGTAATGAGGCGTATATAAAACGATACTAACCCCGTACGCTCATCATATCGTTCATATATTCTCTTTATGATGAGGCGACATCGCTAAACTCATACTGCTAAAAATAAACGATAATGCGCGCGGTCCCCTCGTAACCTAAATTGTGATTAGGACTCGAAGGAAATATTTAGAATTATACGCTTTCAGTTTTAGTGATTGCCTAATTCTCATTTCTACCAATGTAGATTAACTTTAATCTCGGTCAACTTACTCCTCACTTTTTTTCTAGTTCCAAGAGTTAGAGAAAATGAAGTTGAACGTACTTTCTAAAACTTTTACAGTGAGTCTCATTCTGAAGAGTGAAATCTCACTCTTACAGATTGAAAATTGAGCCACTCTTTTTTTAAGACTGGCTCAATTTTCATTTCTTAAAATGAGATTCCACTCCAAACAATTTATAGAATAGATCAAAGTTAATCTATAACAGTGGAAGCAGACATAAGACGATATTGATATCAATGAAATTTATATTTTCGTTGAAGTTATGGATATTGCTAAGCAATTTACCTCTGCATGGCTAAAGTCTTTGTAAGATTTTAGAAATAAAACAATATCACGTTTTATTTCTGTGTATTAATTTCTTTGTGTGTTCGAAATATAAACACTTTGCACATATTCATCCCTTGAGAAGTGCCGATGATCACTAACATTTAAATATAAATAATCCAGTGATACATATGTATATAACATTCATATATTATAACTTTCAATGATTATTGGACGCTCATCATATTTTCATTAACGTAATTAATGTTATTTGAAAATTAAAAGCACGATTGCACTGTCTGTCTTATCTCTTATCGCATGTCGAGTGCGCTCACTTGCAAAGGCTACCGAACAATTGTTCTCGCACATTCTTGCACCTTCTCTGCTATCTTTCAAAAGCACTGCGAATCTCTATTCTCGTTACATTACGTAAATAATATCGCGGAAACTTTTAATTAACGATTCATTTCCTCAAAGTTGAACTTCGACACTTCGAATTGCTCACCGTCATTTTTCCGCATTTTCCTTTGCTAGGAAGAAAAAAAACTGCATGAGTATCCGAAACAATTAATGCATGCAATTCTGGCATGTGTCGAGTGTACGCAGTAACCATTCAATCTTTTACGACGTCATCCATACGCAATCATATCGAAACGTTCTTTTTTTAAATGCGCGGACACGTGGAGACGTCGTGATCGCCTGTTGTTCTCATTTCACGTCTTGCCTCCCTTGCGTGAGGAGCAAGCGACCCCCAGGCGTTCGAGGATAACGCCCGTGGATCGTTTCACTCGTCAGACATGCTGCATCCTTTGTCTCATCATTTATCATCTCATGATTCACGGCCGGTGCGAGTGAGGTAACGAGGTTTGGTCGCGCGTATAGAGGGAAGATCCCTAAATAATAGAGTACATCCTGACCCGCCCCGTTAGCGAGGTATATTAAAACTTCATTTTGGTCACCTTGCAAAAATAATGAAATCGTTAGAAAAGGTTTCTCGGATCCTTTCAAGATAAAAGTTTTACAACATATAACGTGACTGTCTCTTCTCGGTCGCACACGACGACTGTCGCGACTGAGATCTGAAATATTTTTAAGCAAGTGTCTGATATGAGTTATTAAATTCCCTGCTAATGAATTTTTCTCGCGATTTTAAATAAAATTCGACAAATGCTCGCACCGGCTTTATACTCGTTCATTACGATCCCTCGTTTATGTTGAGTGTTGGTGTTGGTGCAAGGGGCAGGAGACACCGATATACATATGGTACGAGTCGTATCCGACCCACAGTGGCGAAGGGTACGAGGGTCGTGTCTCGAGGGTGAGCGAGAATTCACCGTACGGCCAGGCCAGCCTCAATCTGACGAATATCCGCGAGAGTGATCAAGGATGGTACAAGTGCAAGGTCGTCTTCCTCAACAGGTCGCCTAACGGTCACAAGAACGGTACCTGGTTTCATCTAGACGTCCACGGTAAGTAATCTCAATTTTCACGTGTTTTCTAGTTCAAACATTTGCGAATGCAACTCGCGTAACAGCAAGTGTCTTTAATATTCAGGATTAACATGAAACGCGAAACGATGTAATCTCTTCTTGACACATTTGAGTTTGCATCGCTGTGAAATGAGCAGTGAAAAGTACAAATGAAAAGTTACTTTCATGTTATATGGAACTTGATGAAAAAAAGAACTTGGTATTCACGTAAAGTTGTCTGCTAGTAATAAAAGTTATATCCACTATGTGCTAAACGCGCTCTTAGCTGGAGCTTTTATGTCCAGCTTATATAACATGAAATTACGTTATTTCTGCTTCGAATAGTCTCGTTAATATCACTTTGAACTTAAGAAGATTTTACGACTTCGGCTAATGCAGTTTTATAACACTTGCAGGAAGTTAACCGCGTAAGTTAGGGCCACGTTTGAATAATTCGGTGAATTTGCAAGTTTTCATAATTTGTTGGAAAAGAGATGTATATAATATACGAAAAATGTACCTTCATACATTTTATATATAATTATATATTATTTTATCATTACATCAATCTTAACAATATTTTACCAATATTGTTAATATTTTTAACGAAGTTAATAACACGAGTTTACGTATGTTTCTCTGTTTCATTTATTACTAATAATAATTTTATTAAAATAAATTAAATTAATAATATTTGTGGGTCCAAGAATAAATCCAATACCTATATGAGCTTCCGCGGTTGGTGGTGCGTAAATTATGTATTCATAACATGATATAATTTCCAACTAATTGGGATATACTTATCAATCGAAATTAAAATAAATGTAAATATTTCGATTCTGAATTTGAGTCCTCGTCAGTAGAAAGTCAAGTACGAACTACTAATCATTCATACTTGACTTCCACACTGAAAAAGGATTCAAATGCAAAGACGAAACGTTCGCGTTTACTTTAACTTTGTTTGATAAGTACATTCCAATTAGTTGCAAATTATATCTTATCATGTTATGAATACATAATTTATGCACTACAACCGCGGAGGTCCACATAGGTATTTTATTTGTACTGAATTTATTCTTAGAGTCACAAATGCTATACTAATTTATTTCAATAAAATTAGTAATAAATCAAACACAGAAAAATATATGGGCATTTTGTTTGTGCTAATTTTATTACTTGTCTCTTAAGCATAAAATTTTCTAAATTTACTTGTATTCAAGAATATGTGTATATGTTAACGTTTGATAATGAAAACTGATCTCATCGAGAAATACGCATCGATTGGGGAAAAGAAACGCGTTCACGCATTGTTGGAGATACATGAAATTCCGGAACGTCCTCCTTTTGCACTTGGTTAAACACATCAACTAGTATTGTGTTCCTACGAAAGTATTCCTCTTTCTGTCGCCCGCGTTCCTTCTTATCCCAGTCGCGTCTTCGAGCTTACCTCGTCGATGTGACTTCCTGTCAGGAGAAGGAAAGCACGCGGATCATAAAAGATTCGCTTCAGAAAGACGCTGCCACCGCCACCACCGCTACTGCTGTCGGTTCTCCGATGCATCTCTCGATGCGAATTGTACATTCAGCAAACACTGCAACCACGCCCCGTCGTGCTCCCGTTTCCCGGCGTTCCCCAAGTTCGCGCGTCGTGGAAGAAGTTATGTTTCTTGCTTACTCAGCGCGCAGTTCGAACTTACATCTTCTTCCGGAGTTCTTCGCCGTGTCCTTCATCGCTTCGACGAAATCTCCCGAGAAACGCCGTCCCTGCTTACGGCGAATAAAATGGAAAGGATCGCAAAAAAATTGTGTTACTGGAAGGAAAATGGGACAGAGGGGGAGGAAAAAAAATGAAGAAAAGCGATGGAAAATGAAGGAAGAAAGGAGGAAGAAACTTATTGCCGCGTTTTGCTCGGCTATAAACGACGACGAAGGGCCGAAGGGAGGAGAAACATTTAGATGGCTTGGGAAGGATGTGTTGCGTTGTTCTCTTTTTTTCCTCCTCACACCTCATCCATTCTTCTTCCCTGTCAGTCTGCTCTGCTTATTCCCATTTTCTCCGTTGTTCTCTGTCAAGCTTTCGGTCACACTCAACAATAACAACAACGAAGGCGACGACGACGGCAATGACGATAGATCCGCAAACGACATCAAAGGGAAAAATACTTGAGGCACCCGGAAGGCGCTTAAGATTCCTTTATACTTTGTAGTCGGCTCCATTCGGTCGCTTGCTCGTGTTAAAGTCATAAACCGTCGCATCCCATCGCGTCACTTCACTCCCCTTTTTCTTTTTCCACTTTCCCCATCTCCGCTACTGTATCTTCCGAAGCGTCGCTCTCGAAATTAAAATTCCTCGTCTTCGAATAACGACGAACGCAAGCAGACGGTGCAGAGTAGCGGACAATATCCCGGAAAAACTGAAAACAGAGAGAGAGAGAGAGAGAGAGAGCCCCGAATGGCAACAATTCGAAAGAAACTCTACGTGAAGCTTCTGCAGAAATATTTACTTGAGCCCTTTCCGATTCTACCGGATTTCTTGCGCGTACGTCGTTAAAATTTTTCCAACGAAACAATTTTGTCTTGCGAAAGAAAGGGAATATCGCTCGGAGGATGGTTTTCTTAACCATTACGCCGTGGAAAATTTGCATTATTTCAATCACTCGTTTTTCCTCGTTTTCCATTCTGGACCGCTCCCGCTTTCCCTCGTCCGAAATTGTCGATCTTATACGGTATGGTCTTAAGACAAGAGAAAACACTCTTTGCGTCATCGTTCGGTCGCGAGCGACGGACAGCGACGAACCATTGTGATTTCTCCAGGATGAAAAGAGGACGGGCGATAAAAACGTGGACGGAACTTCTCGAGGAACATTTTCTAAACGTCCACCTCTTCTGCTCGGACTTGATTGTTCTTCTAACGTCATTTACCCGCGGCCATTTTCTATCGTGAAAGTGCCAAGCGTCGTCCTCACTTACAAAAAGATAAACGGCTTACATTTTTTTGCGAAGCTTCGTTTTACGAGAACTACGTTACTGGGTCGTGAAAATAATCGGGAATGCAGGGGATGAATTTACTCGAGTTATATAGAGATCAGTCGGTTTGCACCGCGCTCTGTAGAGTTCACATTGTAGTCATACAACGCGATAAGATATAATTGTATTGAATCATATCTAATCATTTGAAATTCGCCTCTATTGTTCGCAGCGCCACCCAGATTCAGCATAACACCGGATGATATGATATATGTGAATTTGGGCGATGCGATAATACTCAACTGCCAGGCTGAGGGTACTCCGACGCCAGAGATCCTTTGGTACAAGGATGCGAATCCGGTTGAGCCCAACGGCCGAGACGTCGGGATATTCAACGACGGCACGGAGCTCAGGCTCTCGACGATCAAGAACGATGACATCGGTGATTACACCTGCATCGCCAGGAACGGGGAGGGCCAGATCAGCCATACCGCGCGCGTCATCATCGCCGGTGAGACTTTTCATTCAGCTTTTGTTAGAATGTTAGGAAAATCCTCGCGGGACTGCAATTTCGTCGCGAAGTTGAGCAATAAATTACCCGTTCGGGAGCACCGAAAGACACGATTACGTTCGACAGCAACCGAGTCTTATCGAGTGTGAGAGATAAAACTTTTTTAATTTAAGTCTTACTGTCAGTCAGAAATATATTTGCCCGGCGAAGATCTGGAAATAGAGCGCCAGGCACAAGGATGGGTATTGCGAGATTACGAAAATTTCCATGTCTTTAAATAGGTTTAAACTTATGATGATGAAACCGTAATGTAATAAATAAATTTGCATGATTATCCATGTACGCGTGCGTTTCGATAACGATAATCTCTTCTTCATTATATTCTTAATTTCTTGAAAATATTTTCGTCAGAGGTTACGTATTCGACGCATTCTCATTTAAAAGATCTCTAATTCCTGAAAAATCCCTCTTAAAATTCCCGACGTGATTTTATCAACGCGAGTCACGAGTGGCGTCTATCCCGCGGTTTTGCCGTGGCGAATAACAATTGTTTTTTTCCGTCGGCCTCGGTAATATCTCGCGGAAAACGTTAACGTGCTCGCTGTTAAGTATTACTGGCTGACAGCAGCGTGTTAGTAACTACAATGTAGCCGCTTAATCCACTCGGTCCGGCGGCTGCGACAAAAACCATCATAGCAGCTTTCGTTTTAAAGTCTCGTGTTAAACGAGCGAACGATACTGCAGTGTCATGCACGGTGTGACGATTGGGATGATTAACCGTTAATATACACGATTGAGTCATTCGTGTCCTGCGTATTTTTTTTCTTTGAAATACTATAGGAGCATTTGGTTAAATAATAAATTCTACTGTTTCCTTTTTTAAATACATAACTTTATAAATACTTTTTAAAGATATTAAAGTGTGTGTATTGTATAAGAAATACTTTTTTTATACTTATAAAAGTTATAAAATCTGGGACACAAACGATCCATCGTGTGTAGTAAAGGACAGAAATATCATCGTGTACACCAAAGGTTAAAGAACCGTCCGATCGTGGCGTTTACTTGTTCTTCGGGGTTGACGGGAAACATAAAAAGTCTATCTCAGTTGATCCTAGAAATATCTTAATCAATCACCTATCCGTCACAACCGCCGATTTTATCGCTACGCGAATGCTTACTGACTCAGGAAGATAGGACCACGTCTGTAGATTGTCAATCTTTAAGTACTTGTTTTATTCTGACAATTAAATGCCTATTTTTCATAGCCATAAGTTAGATACGTAATTAAAATATAATTAAGGAATATTTCATAAAAGTTTTACCTCTATCCAGCGAAGAAAAGGGGTGAAATTTGAGAGCGCCTAGGTATATAACGCCAGTAAACTAATTAAAGAAGAAGATACTTTGTACCGAAGCTAATAAGAAGGCCAGTCTTTTTAACTTTGTTTTTATCGAACATAAATATAAAGTCGATTGATTAGTTTGCCGACAACGAAACGCTGCGGCGTACTCTCTTTCTTCTTAAAACTAATTTAATATGAAACGTTCGAGGTATGTATATATGTATATGTAAATATATATATATATATTTATATATGCTTATATATAGTAAATGCGCTTTAATATACTTCCGAATATTGCCTCGACATGGCAGCGCGATTAATTATCCGCGATCGGCACCCGAAGAGAATAATAAAAAATACGGCTGCCTGCCAGGCCGATAATTAATAAACAGCAAACTGCCGTAGTAATTATCGAACGCGCCGTTATCAGAAACAGATATCCCTCGGTAATCAGCGATCAGCTGAACACCGGTAATGCAATTCCAATAACCTGCATGCTAGAAAATATCTTAAACCGAGCGCGGTTGGCTCTCTCTCCGCTAGTTTTGTTATTTATCGATCGGTCTGTAAGCTGTTCTCTTTCTCTCATACACACACACACACACACACACACACACACACACACACACACACACACACACACACACACACACACACACACACACACACACACACACACACATGCACACACTCCTACTTCAATTTTGCTTGATGCGCAATCGAAAACGAATTCTCACGGGTAGGTAGTTCTCAGTCGATCGCGTCTTCGCGATACATTCGATAAATTTGACGTACTCCACGCAAGCTTCAAACAGAATAATAAACGGCCCTCTCACAAATGATTTCGCTAAAGTTTTCACAGTCGTCTCATGAGAGATATGTCGAGATCTGAAATATCATGACCGGACTGCAAGTCGACCCTTAATTTTGAAGTATCAATATTAAACGCTCGTAAAACTGATTACATTTTGCTACATACAGATTCTGAACAGCGTGCTTGCAGCTTGCATTAATTGCGACTACTTCAACGTCAAGTATCTAAAAGATACGATAAGTCTGATAAATAAGTCTTTGCTTCCAACAAGCTAATGCGCATGAAATGAAACAATTAAAGATTTACGTGTAGATCTTATTATCTCCGGTTTAATTAACTCGATTCATCGTCCTTCTCGTTCCTTTGCAAGTGCTTCGCTCTTGACGTCCATTATGAAGAGGATTTTCACCGTGCGGCATGGGGTAATTTAATCGAAAAGAGTACACAATAATCCCGGTTTAATTTGCGCTTAATTAGGTCTTTATCCGCAACATCTGTAATAGTCTTGTAAACAGTAGATTTCTTTGAACACTAGAAGTATAATACCTACCGAGCGATCATTATTGACCGTTTTTATTTTTAGATAAAAATTAATATTATATTTTTTTAATATTATATTTCTTGTGTAAAAGATAAGAAATTTTTCGATTTTTTTCAGTAATTATGTCTTTTATACTGATGAAACATTTGGTTTTTTATCATTTTCTTTATTTTTATAATAATTTATTTGCTTGGTCCTTCACTGTTAAATATCAAAGAACCAATGATAATCCATTCCCTCTTGAGTTAAATATAACGTTTTATTATTTTTAATTTCCATGTGCGTCAAAATGTAAATAAATTCATTGCTGGCTAATTTCCAAGTAAACATTGTCCATATTAACGTATGATTTAATAAATAATAAATTAAATCTATCAAATTTAATACATTTTCATGAATTAAATTGCTTAAAATAACATTAATAAAAACAAGATCGTGTTACTAATTAATGTAACAAATAGAGCCAAGAATTTGAAACCAGCAGAATTTGGTGCAAACAAATTATGTACTTTGTTAGACTATGAACAAAATTAACATTGAAAAATCGAACGGATAGTACAGAATCCTTCATCAATGATATAAAAGAGAATCATTACAAATCTTCTAAAAAATAATTCGACATGAAACATAACTGAAATATAACTCCCCTCTTACCCATCTCAAATTACGAGTCAAGAGAACATATCCAGACTAATTAGACATATAAATTATTTTAGTCAAATTAATGATATATTAGAGCAATGACGACCTATAAAAATGATTAAAAATAACTCAAATTGGGTAGAATTTGATATGGATTCAACAGTGTTTTAGCGAGTAAGTAATATTGGTACTTCTAGTGTTCAGAAAATGATATCCGATAATATGTGGTTTGGATCTTTGTGTTCGTATAACGAAAAGTCTATAATACGAGAAAGAAAGAGAGAGAGAGGGGGGAGGGGAGAGACTTCCATCGCAGTTTCGAACGATGATTTCTTCCTCTCATATCAGATGGATGACTCAGATAATCGTGTGTGCGGACAGGTGTTTGCCGTTCTACGTCATAGCTTCGCGATCAAGCTCAGAAAAAGATAAGGGAAGTCGCAATCTCATCCGTGTATGATCGTACGACCGTTTCAACGTCCGTTTCTCCCTGGAGAACGGAAACGTTTATCCGTGATCGAAGGCGCGGGAATGCTGATGCATCCATAAAGCGCAGATACGGCATACGTACGGGATGTATAGTGCAACGTTTCTCTCCCGTAAATTTTACGAACCGATACATTTACTCATATCGATACGTTCAGCTCTCCGTGATAAAACTCGCGTTAGGCAAAGTGGTTACAGCGAGCTTCCGGGCGTCGCTCGTTCCGCCGACCAATTAAGGCTATTCCCATGGCGAGGAAGGGAGGGAGGGTTAAAAGGCGATTTGTCTTGTTTTTCCAACAGCCAACAGCCACTTTTCGCCTCCGAACCGCCTTCTTGTTCCATTTCGCTTTTCCTCCATTCCCTTTTTTTCCAACGCCATCGCGCCATCGTCCGTTCTTGCTCCGCAACCACTGCAAATTTGTAAGCCGCGCCAACAGCAAGCCACCGCTGGGACATCCGTCTTCATCATCGTATTGTCTTACCGTCTTGCGCGCCTTTTGTTTTCACGCTCGTTCACAGGCTCGGCAGCGAGATGGTTATTTAATGGATTGAGAAATGGCGCGGATGTCGCTGGCTAGACACGGCGGCAAGATCGTAAAATTCGCTCGCGCGCGGAGAATAAAATTAGATGAACGCTCATACCAGAAACCATTATAGCGATAGCCGCTAAAGTATGAACAATATGAGAACAAACTGTACATTGAATTACATTTCTTCCATGCATTTTTTATTTCATTTACTGCAAATCTCCAAGTGTACAAAAAATATCTCGTACATGTATGTGATCTATGGTTTTCCGTGTAAAAATAATTTAAATGTGTAAATGTTTAAATGTGCAAATCTATTTTAATATAAATCATAATATAATTATTTTTATACCGAAAGCTAAATCACACATGAAGATACTTATTACATACATTTGGATTTGCAGTATTTTGTTTCAGAATTATTAAAACGTCGATAAAAATAAATTAAAGCAAAAGGAGAGCAAAATTACTACACGTAGACGAAAATAAAAAAATCGCATTTATCTTTTCCATTCTAGAAAAAGGTGGGACATGTGTATTTTATATGATATAAACATAATAGCGCATTTCGCCAAGTTAAACGAAGTAGAGCGTTTAAAGAGGATGAGAGTACGCCGGAAAGTAAACATTACAAAAATAAATCATTCTAAAATTTATTCTGCATCTCGACTGCTGCTCCATTTGCTGAACTACCCTTCACGCTCGTATCCTTCGCGCTTCTCGTGGTACCACGTATTTGCAATGTGCAACGTGATGTAGCGCGACGCTACACCATCATAGCTGTGTACTTGGCATGAGAGAGTCCCCTTCCTCTCCCACCCTCCCCCCCTCTCTCTCTATCCCTCTGAATTTCATTGCCCCGGTTTGTCAAGATTTTCGTCTGGTTGGCAAACGTTGGAATTTGTCACTGTGACACTTCTCGCATCGGGAATGCGACGAAACCGCGGGTATAAACGCAACGTAGTCGGTGATGTAGCAGCACGGTGCGACAGTAGTTTAATAAACACTTTGCAAAAGTGTTTACGTAGTCTCTCACGATACGAAAAGGGGTATCAAGGGTGGCGTTCGAAGCCTTCGTAAATATCGACCGTACATCGCGCATCGGTGGGAATTGCTGATCCAAGTTGGTAAAAACAACGTCGTTAACGATCGCGCGTTAATGTGCACTACGCGTGCAACTTTATGGCAACTGCACGCTCGGATGCGTGATTCTACGAGCGACTCGGAATTCCATTGCCCTCATTTGCTCCGAACTTTACAAACTTTCTCCACCCTTTCCGCAAAGTATCCTTCTCGTGCGCCCGCATGACGTAGCATATATCATCGTCGGCGCGCGAATAATTAAAATATATTCTGTTGATATCGCGCCGCGTATATCGCACCCGCCGTTCGAGATTGAAGAACAAAATTCGCATGGGACAATGGAACGGTGGAACAATGAGAAGAGAGCTTTCAAAGGATCTTTGAAGTTAGCACATTTTCTGCATTTTTGATTTTTTGATATAAGAAAATAAGGAATTTTTTTTATTTTTATGCCAAGTTGTGCAACCTGTTTCACACTGCTTTGAAGCATTTTTTGATTGGTCAATTCGTAAAGTTTTTTCTTCTGGTCAAACATTTGCAGCGTTAAGTGGATTAAACTCTGTAGAATGAAAAGTGCTGCTGGAATGATAATTATTTTATTTAAAAAAAGAACATAAAAGCCCATGTAAGTTCTTGTAGTGGAAAAACATTCTATATTCAATCATCTTATAACTAAGAAATATAAACGTTTCGACTTGTCATTAGATCATCTTCAGTATTATTCGCAAGTTTAGAATTCTAATTTAGTTGAAACTATATAGAACAGTGTCAAATAGAACATATCTAATTATAAATTACGTCGCTTAGTTATCGCTCACATGTCATGTAAATTGAAATTGTAGAACAGTGTCAAGTAATAAAACATATTTAATTATAACTTATATCGTTTGCATATCATGTAAGTAAGCGATATAATTAGAATTCTAAAATTGTAGATAATACTGAGAATAATCTAATAATAAGGTCGAAACGTTTACATTCTTTTATAACGAGATGATTGTATAAAGAATGCTTTTATGCTAAAAGAACTTGCGTAGGCTTTTATGCTCCCTTTTTATAATACTTATTGATTTATTCTCAAAGCCTTTGTATTCATCATATATGTAATAATATTTTCACATTAATAAAATGTTTAAATTAATAAAAGATTTTTATATTAATAAAACGCTAACTTCACAGATCCGCTTTCGGAGTACTTGAATCGAGTTTCTTCGGCGGGTATGAAGTGCTACGTTAATATAAAAAGATATATAAAAGATTTGACACGACGGATACATTCGATTTGATTGGTATTGGCCATCGAGGTAAACCCTTCTTCGCGCGCGTGCCCGAGCATAAATGCAGCGAGGATTGCGAGGAAATACGTTCCTTTCTTTTTTCTCTCCGGGCAACAAGTTCTCATTCCGCGCTTCGCGCGTTTATCAAGATCGTAGATTCAAATTTATTCTTGTCGTGCCGGTGCGGTATGCACCGCTGGCGCGCATTGTAACGCGTCTCTTCGGTGGTGCAACTGGATGCAATATATTGAGACATCGGGCGCGAAGCTTAGAATATCGTTGCTCCCATTTCTGCGGATTTTCGTCTGCGCATGGAACACGATATTTCTTCGGAGAGTTCTTCGGTTCTTTCTTGGCCGTCACGTTTACTTCCGATCACGGCGGCCATATAATAATTCCGAGATCGAAATTTCTGTCGTCGATATTCGCGTCATATCGCCAAAAAGCTATTCCGCAACCTCGAATTTGATTACATCGATACGCGAGGACAGTAAACACCGCAACAATCTGCCAAATGTTTAATTGTTCAAACGTCCGTCAATATATATTTGCAACATCGCAGCACTATAGATGTATCGCAGCGTTCGTTCGCGTGTATAAATTTACACGTTGTTTGCGCGACACCTATACCCTGTTTACTTTACCAACTAGCAATCTCGAATTCGAGCGTGTATATGGATTTTGAGTGTCACACGTCCGAAATTAAAATGTAAAAGCAGAAATGCGACGGAGATTGCAAACGGACGACGGTGTTTATTATCCGAACCATATAATTCACAATCGTAGAATTCGATATATAAATATTGAATGGTAAACAAATGTTTTTCTCTCGTACGGTAACCAACGCGTGCATCCAATCTTGTGCGATGCAATAAAAATAAAGAGTTACTGGTCTATGGATTTTATAGAGTTTTGATTTTATTATCGAGGCGCTTCTTCTTGCAGACCAATAATCACGTCTTTCAACGTATGAATCCCAGTATCGCTAATTCCTCAACAATTCTACGTATGCTCGCTCGATCTCATCACGTTCGAAAGACCTCCTTTTCCCACCCGTTGTCTGGCAACACAGAAATGAAGTAAGCCCATAATCCCGACGAATGACGATAGATCGGATTGCGGAAAATGCCGCGGAATTGCGCGAAGGTGGAGCTCGGTCTTTTGTGCAGCGAGAATCGATCTTCCGTTATAATACGGCGAGATATTCGCTTCTGAAGCGAAGCCGCAAGTTTTGAAATTCTTCAGGCGTGAATACGAAGCGCGAGACGGTCTGTGGGCGTGGACGACGTTTGGATATCGATGAAGATATAATGCACCCTGTTGAGCGCCTTCCCTGCAGACTCGAAGGCGCAGAAATCACGGAGGCGAAAGGCAAATTCGTGACTACACGCGCTCAATTGATGCTTGTATCCTCTTCGCTTATCCATTTGTCGTGACTTTTTTTACTGACGAGCGAAAGAGACATTATCGAGAATCGATCGAGACGCTATAACGCTCTGTTTCTCTCCCTGTCTCTGCTTGACGGCGAGTCAGATGCATCGCGTGCTATCGTCTCTTCCGGGATATCTTTGATAACGAGACAACCAATATCAGCGGTCAATCGGTCACCGCAGATCCTGAATGTGGTAGATACTACTACGAGAATACATCGGTTGCGTTTGGTTTCGGTAACCGTAATCGATATTTTGTCTCTTTGACATCTCGGTCTGTATCTGACGCTAATAAGAATCGTACGTTTGATTGATTTACAGGTGGAGCCGTTATTATGGTGCCGCCGACGAATCAAACGAAGCTAGAAGGCGAGAAGGTGCAATTTTCTTGCGAGGCAAAGGCACTTCCGGGTAACGTGACGGTGCGCTGGTTTCGCGAAGGCGCACCTGTCACAGAGGTCTCGGCTCTGGATACCAGAGTGTCCATCAAGATGGATGGTAGTCTGGTTATCAACCCCGTCAGCGCCGATGACTCCGGTCAATATCTGTGCGAGGTCACTAATGGCATCGGCGATCCTCAGACTGCTAGCGCCTATCTGAACGTCGAGTGTAAGACTTGTTCGAATTATCAAATTAGAATTTGTCAAATTAAAATATGGAATTAAAATTCGAAAAGATTTAAATGTCCAAACACTAAGGATTGAGCGGCGTGTTTTAAACGCGATGCTTAATCTGAGCTCTAAGTATGATTAATGTCCGAAGAATTAATGTCTTTCTCGTGGATTTTTCCCGTGTTTTAGATCCGGCGAAGGTTACATTTACCCCCACTGTCCAATACCTGCCGTTCCGTCTGGCCGGTGTGGTCCAGTGTTACATAAAAGCCAACCCGCCCTTGCAATACGTGACCTGGACCAAGGATAAACGCCTACTCGAGCCTTATCAGACAAAAGACATTGTTATCATGAACAACGGCTCCCTGCTCTTTACACGGGTCAATGAGAATCACCAAGGCAGATATACCTGCACGCCTTATAACGCCCAGGGCACGCAGGGCAGCTCGGGTCCGATGGAGGTCCTCGTACGGAACCCGCCTGTCTTCACCCTCGAGCCGGAAGTAGTGTACACGAAGAAGGTCGGTGAGACGGTCGAGATGCACTGCGACGCTCAAGAGGCCGACGGAACGCAGAAACCAACGATACAATGGCATCGGGTATAGTCTCACTTAGAAAAAAATACGCGTTTAGATTATTAAGCCAAATTTTCGTTATTTTATTTTCATCACCATTTTTAAATACATTTTTTCTTGAACCATAGGTTGTAATAATTATTGCTGGCGAAATGAGCATTTTATCATTTAGATATACAATGTAATACTTAAATGGAACAAATAGGTATAAAAAATGTGGGAATGTATGTGTGTGTGTGTGGAATTTAATACCAAGAGTATTAAATATAATTCTTATTGTGTTGATATTGATATAAATATGAGCATATATGATGTAAATTTAAATGGTATATATTACCATAAGTTTAAAATCCACACCATGTTGTTTATACGCGCTCTCGTATAAAGGAACCACGATAGTGTCGTTGCGCTTGGCTTAGCGCAGAGATACTACCTGTTTCCTGATCAGCACGGCAAGAATTATATTAACATTGCATGATGTTAAATCAATAAATCTACATTTTTCAAAGAATATACATTAATCATCGGCAGTTCTAATGTTAGAAAGTATTTTTAACGAGTTGTCTTGTCGTAATTTTATAAAACAATTTCCAAAATTATCTCAGAGAGATGGCGGACCTATTCAACGCACACGCTCGAAGATTGTCGGTGGCAATTTAACCATAGAAAGCCTTCGACGCGCAGATTTCGGGTTTTATCAGTGCGTCGCCTCCAACGAAGTTGCCACCATCTCAGCCTCGACGCAACTGATCGTCGAGGGAACGCAACCCCATGCACCTTACAACGTGTCGGGCACTGCCACGCAATTTGCGGTATCGCTAACTTGGTTACCAGGTTATTCCGGTGGTCCTGATTACAAGCAAGATTATACTATCTGGTGGGTATACGAGATAGGCTTACAGGTATTACCATTATTAAGGTTCTACGACGCGTACTATAATTGGCCGAATAACAAGAGATGATAATCCTCCATATCGCAAAAGCAATTTTACTTGTATAGCACGTGTTATAGCCATCAATATCACTTACAAGTGATAAAATTTTTTAAACCTATTTTGAAAATATTTTATAATCTTTAACATTTTATTTTTATTTTATTGTTATCTCCGCTCAGGTACAGAGAATCGGGAACTTCGGAATGGAAGACAATCCCCGTGACTCCATCGGGCAGCACATCGGTGACGATCAACAATCTTACGCCTAGTACTCTCTACGAATTTCAAGTAATCGGGAAAAACGCCCTGGGCGAGGGAATGTTGAGTAAAGTCATCACAGTCAGGACGCTCGGTAATATAAACTGCGTGTTACGTTCAAATTATTTTGGCTATTGTTTTTCACAAATTTGACCGAAGTTTATCACAAATTTCATAAATAAGAGACCTGCAAAGAATGTATATAAATTTAAAACGAGCAAAACTCGATGATCTCGAAACAAATATTAAACTATTTCACATCATGTTCTATCAATTAATAATATTAACTATAGATATTTTTATTCAGTATTAATGCTAATCTAATGAATAGTAACTAACAAATCGCTAATCATTTATTCGCTGATTAACAAACTAATCTTCACTATTTCAACTATTTGTATAAATTTCTTTCTCATATCTATCTGCATTCTCCAAGACGTTAGCTTGCCCCAGTCGGCGACTGATCAACCCGCCTCTTCGGATCAAAGTGGTAAGATACGAATGAAGTTATTGCTTACGACGCGATTACGGTTTTAAAATGGAAAAAACAGTGAAATGTTGAAAATGATGAAACTCACGGGTAAAAAATGTTTAATAAAAAAGCGACGCATTTTACGTGAGCCATCTCAAAAGTGTTTATACTGTCGTAAATTTAAAACGCGTGAAATGCATCGGGGGTAACGTAAAATACAATTTCTTCAAGATGTTAAAATCGACGATTTTTGCTGCTAGTTCAAATCTGCAAGCTAGCGAAACGCGATCGGTTGTTGGAATATCTCGAAATATCCGCGAGCCGTGCGATTCACTTCGTAAGCTGAGAATGGCATCTCGATGACTGTTGAAGAGAAATTCATACGTGAGGGGTGTCGTTCTCGTCTCACTCTGCTCTGATCCTCTCATCGGCATATCGATCCGAGAGTCGAAAAGTCGCGCGACTTCTTCGGCTAGAACCGTAAGGTGGAAAAAAAAAAGAAAAAAGAAGGAACAAAAAAGTAAGAAGAAGGCGACAAGATAAGAAAAGGTGAGGAGGCAGGGGGACAACGAATGCGGATGCGGAATGAGGCGAGGAGCAGAGAAAACCGAGAAAAAGGGATGGAGGGAAAGAACGGAGACTTCCGTGGCGACTTATCGTATCGGAAAACCCATCGAGCCGTTCATTCTGCTTCCGCTTTTATTTCCTTCCCTCGAATCCACCGGTTCATTGCCTTCCATTTGTACACACCGTACCTCGAGCATCCCCGATACCGGCAGCTAGGGATTTCTATCTAGTTACCTTTCAAGCGTTTCTTTCGCCTATCTGACTCTTTTCTCGTTGTACCTTTTTCTCATTGTAACGCTTTTTCGCTCCTTACATTTGTATCCCACGCACAAACCCGCATCATCATTGGTTGGCTCGTTAGCCTACACCGACAAAGGGCCGGCTTCAACAACGCTGGTTAACCACGAAAGGGTTAACTAAATTTTCTTTTTCTATACCTCTACTATTCTATACCTCTCTACACAAAGCGTACTAAAACTCACGTTTCACAGAAATCCTCTAACTTTCGATCTTTTTCAACGAACAATTTATATACATTTTGACACAATTTATGCCCAAGTTTTAAGTTACAATTTTATCCAAGAATAAATTAACGAATAAAATTTGTAAAGATATATCTCGGTTCGTTAACTGCTTTGACATATTTGTGGAAGAAAAATTAAATTTTTAATTTCCAAAATTTAATTTAAAAATCCCTTACAGTGCATAGATACGAAGTTTTGAATAATCCTATATTATGTTCCACATTACGGTACAAAAACAGATATCCAGTAGAGTTAATTGATATTGAGTTAAACAGATACTATAAGTAGAGTTAATTGACATTGATGAAACCTAATACAATTAGCAGAGAATTTCACAATGATCCGCTTAGATTTCATTCCGAAGAATCTGGAAATAAATCACAGTTTATTTTGCAATTTTACGAAACTTTTCAATGTATGAATGGCAATTCATTTACTTTTTAAGCAATTTAATTTAATTTCTTTTTAAGTTTTGCTTCATTTTCTTTTAAGTTTTTCTGTTTATTTTTTTTTTCATTTCAGACATTCTTGATTACAATACCCTCGTATTACCGACTGATTCCTCAGGAAATCCCGCGTTTCCGCCAATCATACGACCGAAAGGTATATTTTCATTTTTTTTTATTTATATTATATTATATGTATTTAATGGAATAAAATAAAAAGAATCCTTAATTTTATTTTCTGTATTAGATAGCGATATTATCGAACGGTTATTATATGATTTTATTAAAATGTTCGAAAGTGTTCGTCGTCGCTTTCACACCGCCCACGCGTTATTTACAGTCAATGTGATCACGATGACATACAGTCGTCATTCTCCGTCTCTGTCTCACAGAATCTTTGGCAAGAATCTTTCGCGCCGCTGAAGAAGGCGAGGATAAAAAATCCATTTTTTCCTCCAAGAATGTCTTTCGTTTCGCATGAAGGAGATTAACCGCTATTAAATGCTGTGGTGGACATGAAAATAAGTGTTAAGCAGTCCGACAAGGCAATAAGAATGAAACGCGTGTTCGCGCACACCCACGCTCGCATACAGTTCGGCATACCGCGAGGAAGGTACAGGGGAAAATAAAAAACGAAATCCTCTTAGCCGCGGCGTACGGAGAGAGCTAGACGGGAGGCATTCCAGGAGGGAGAGCAGGAAATAACATCATACATTTTGCACGTAGCAGACGGTTCCAAACAATCTACTCCGCTTTGGAGCTGAATAAACCCAAGAAAGTTTTAGTTGCCTCTCTCGTGAGTCGAGTTTCAATCATATTCGGATCGTCGGGCAGAATAGTGATGCGAATAAAAAAAAAGGGAGAGAATAGCAATACAATTTCAGCATCCAACAGTTTTTATACGTAATTACATTGAAGTGAAAACTTTATATTATAATTTGTATTTTTTCGCGTAGCAGTTTTAATATTCATTTGTTTAATGTAATGCATTGTGTATATTTTATAATAAAATTTTTATGAAAAAAAAAATGTAATCCTCGACTATGTTCTTCCATAGGGAATAATAACTATTATATTTACGCAAAACTAATAAAATATTATATAAAATCCTCGCCTGTGTAGATGCCAGTAAAAACGAAAAAAAGTGCTCATAACAGACAGTTTGGGGAAGAGAAAGAAAATAACTTCATACATTTTATACACAAAGCAAATATTCGAAACAATACAAGTCGCTAATTTTGCAATTTTGTGGCCAAACCAAGCTATTTGCCAGGGTTATTTTCAATTTTTTCACATCAATTTCATATGGTTCCATGATTATGTGATGAAAAACCAAAAGGTTCGTTGCTATTAAAATTACCCAAACGCCACAATTTATTTTGCGTACGTCCACAATAAAAACGATTTTTTTTTTTGCGAAAATAATTTGCCGTATTTATTTCTTCATCTCTACACACATTAGAGTGAACGAAAGTCAATTCACGTACTAATGTACCGAGAGAATTTCGAACGTTTTCTTTTGATTTTGAAAATTCGACTCAATTTTGCCGACTTGACGATAGATTGATCAATTTTGAATGGCACTAAAACGTTGCGTCTTTCAAATCGCCAATATAAAGAAAATTCGCAGCTTCGATAAATTCGTCTAGTGTTTTAAACAAATGTAAAATGATCACATTGTGATTCTACCATCCGACTAATAACTAAGAAAAAGTATCGTTTGCGTAATCAACAAAATAAGCAAACAAATGAAAGAGTTTTTACGTTTACTGGTCGCGATTTGTAGAAAGAACGAGTCAATTCCGTAAATTCTGTCGAAGTATTTTCCAGAACAGCGGCCATTAAATTGATACGAGGGAAATAGGAGAATAGTACGAGATATTTGCTTTGTTGGAATAAACCCGTGGAGCAGATTGGGTGAATCAGAATATAACGGAACATAAACAAAAAAAAAGAAACTGAAAGCCAAATAAAATATTTGTACTTCTTCGTGCGAATTATTATTCGTGTAGTGCGAGTTGTTTTCTTGCTCGTATTTTTTAACACACCTCTTTTTTTATTACAATTGTGTATTGCAATGCACGGTATGAAATCATGCTATTGCTATAAAAGAAATAGTGTCACTCGGACGTTAATAAGATCAACGCCGAAAGTAATTAGGTTGTAACATTAATGTGTAAGAAGTGATGAAAGAAGCTGATCTCATGTTCGACCAATCCAATTAACAAGTCATATCAATAATCATTTCATTCTGATCTAGTGACTGCGATTCAATGACTGGAATACACGTAGACTTATTCATGTACACTCTTTTTTTTACTTTTTTGTCGTTTATATAATACCAAATACTCGTATATTATATTACGCAAAAGAAATAATACGAAAGTGTCAGTCATTTTGAATCTCGTAGCATGTCGATAATTTATTGCAGACATTCACCATCATGTATACAAAAATAATGAATATTTAAAATTCCTATCTCAAAAAGAGCATAGTTTATCCATCATGTTTATACTAGCACATTTGCTCATATCAACCAATGCAAAGAAATTTTTTCCCTTTTTTTGTGTAAACGACATATCGCAGTCGACCCAAATACGTGACGATGAAAAAAGTCAGACATACAACTCGATGGCGCGATGGATTTGATAGATGCGAAAATGTCGCTGCGGTTGGAACGGCGTTAACGTTTTCATCAAAAAAAGCTTTCCGCTGGCACTGCAACTCGGTGCATCACCGAAATTATTCTGGAATTACGACAACAACATTTATTTGCTGACGCCAAAGAGATTTTTCCCTACGTTGATTTTTTTTTTCATTTCGCATATATATAGCACACGCAAAATTTTAAATCTCTCTCTGCTTTATTACTGAAAGAAAAAAATTATTTGTTCGTATTGCAGCATTAAAAATACCAAACAACGTAAAATTATAAAATTACAAGTGCAAGATATATTATCTTACATTGACTTATTAAAATTAACTTATTCAACTTCCAATTGACCTAATCGTCATGATTTAAATTGCCAGGACCAAAGCCAGGTTCTCCCAAGAATCTCACGGTGACGGAAATCAGCAACGGTTTCTTAATAACCTGGCAACCTCCTTCGGAAAAAACCCATCTTATCCAATACTATACTATCAAGTACAAGACGGACGGACCTTGGAAAACGCTCAACAAGGGCCAAATACGACCCGAGGAGACCAGTTATTTAGGTGAGATACCTTTTTCTCTCTTTGTCTTTCTCTCTCTCTCTCTGTCTGTTGATCGCAATGATTATTATGCATAAAATTTCTTACGAGCATCGGACAGGCGTTCAGCACCGAGTACCAGTAATTTCAAAACACTCATGAACCAATATTACTTATCGAATCTGACTTTCGAGAGTACGGCTTTCATGCGATTTCCGTTTAACGCGAACGCCCACAGTGAAGAACCTGGTCGGTGGTAGGACCTACTATTTCCAAGTGTTCGCCAACTCAGCCACGAATTACGGCGCGAGCGACCAGGTGAAGTTTCCCGTGCCGGCTCGTGTTAAGCACAAAGCGATCACCGCGGGCGTTGTGGGCGGCATCCTCTTCTTCCTTGTCGCCATCATCCTCAGCATATGCGCGGTGAAGATATGCAATAAACGGAAGAGACGAAAACAGGAGAAAGGTATGAACGCCCCGTGGCGTTATCGACGTATCGTACACCATTTTGCCCGCAATTCGTCTGGACCTGTGCTCCTGGTTGTGTCGTCTCTATATTGATTTTTGTATGAGAGACAAAGTTCTCTCAAAGAAGCTTCATGAAATTAACACTATATACAGTGAAGATATTTAATGGAATTATAATTAAACGCTTTCGCTTAATCGTTTGGCTCTAAATGTGTATAATTTTAATCTACTAACTCTGCTAATTAATTATTTTAATTCAATAAATTATGTCTTTTGAACGAAACAGTGTATCTAACAATAAGTTAGGTAATGTAAGTTAACTTTTGTGAATATTGTTCGTTATTTCTCTTATTTGGTCCGTCCTAGGCCCGCTTATTTTGTAACTTTTTACTAAAAACTCGCTTTGTGACAGCCGTTTGTATTCAATGCCCAGGACTGGTCAAAGAGACGGCTACGATTTGGCAACACAGGCACCAGGCATGCACCTGTGAACCTGAACATTCATAGTTAACATAGTTATGTAACATTGTAGAACTGCTTTCAGCGTATAATATGGTGGCCTGCCGGGTCACCGACGCCAGGAACGGCGCAGGGCAGGGGCCCCAGGGAACAGTGCCTTTGAAAAAGTGAGTGTCTATCATCCGACATACCATTATTCTCTCAAGGTCCAGGGAATCTTAACTTACGATGCTTTGGAGAATTCTTAAAGGCTCCAATCATACGACAAGTAGACCGAAGGGGTCGCAGCTGCACTAGAAATTCGTTTCATCTATCAATTAAAATCTGAGATTCGCAAAAATATATAAAATTCAAACACATACCATAATTAATAATTTGAGAAATAACATCTCTTCCAGTTGTAAACAAATATTTCGTACGATAAAATTTTCCGAGTATAATCCAATATATAAATAATAATTTCGTAACAATCAATAAATGTTCGTAAACGAATTCTGACGGTAACGCAAATGATTAGCAAAGTAGAGTTAAAACGACGTCTCTTCAGAGGCCGGAGAGGCCACTGTGCGTTTGATTAAGATATGGAATAGGTAGTACAAGTATTGAATATCGATTTTGTACCGTCAAAATGCGTCACAGAGTGCAGATGCGACTTCGAAGAAACATATATCACTTAGGTTTAGCCAGAACTAGCGATTAAGTCCATTCCACCCCCTCTTAACGAGCAATAGGCGACTGAAGCACCGCAAGCATTTACGAAACCTCTCATGAATAATCTTCTAGTCAACAGATATTCGAACATTCACTTCTAATATAATTATACATATAATTACGCAATATACAATTTAATATTTATATTGTTCTGGGTGTATCAAAATTCATATATACTTCGTATCGCTTTTACGCCAACGACTTTCTTGTACAGCCACATCTTTAATGATAATCCCTCTTATGGCACTTCTCAAATTAATAATACGGCTCGATCATTTTACGAGCTAATCGGAAGTAACGATGACATGCCGTTGTCGTACCAGCGACACGTTTACAAAGACATATACGACCGCAAGACTTAGCGAGACGTACGGAGAGAAATCCATTCTCTCTCCTGCCGTCAGCTCGATCCACTTTGACAAAGGACAAGCGCTATCCCTCTGAAACGGGGGATTAAGGAAACGAGGAACGACAGAACCTCTTTTGATCTACTTGCGCCATACATAACACTATGAGCTTCTAGATGTATATATCTCGTAGCAATTAAACCGGCAGACTAAACCGCAGCAGCAGAGGTATTCTGGACGAGGTTGGAGAAATGATCTTTCGATAATCGATAAGTAATTTACGCAAACACTCCCACGCGCAACACCACGTGCGTGCGTGCATGCGTGCACGTTTCCATTAGACATAAACGAAAGAATCGAGTTCGCTATGTGCGATCTGGCGCTTCGAATCGAATCGGATTTCGTGGCTGGAATCAAATAACACGCGGCGAATCGTACGCAGCGAATAATTGCGAATGCGATAACCAATTCGTTTTTCCCGCATCGAAACTCGTTTTTTCGAACGATGCGGGAATATACGAAAAGAAACGAGAGTTGCGCGTAAGAGACGGGCACAGCTTTTCGCAAATAAATGAACCGGATCAACTACAGCGGTCTCTATTACATTCATTCGATTTAAAAAGCGCGAGAGAAACTCGTGGAACAATACTGAATGCAAATATAATTATTTTATTAAATTAATAAAGAATAAGATCTCGTATTTTTTTTTTATACAATCGCGAAATCGCGTGATTTGATTCTACCGAGAAACGGACGCCTCGATTTGAATCGCCGTGAACGCGATTCACGCGATCTGGAACACGGACACACCGACAAAGGAAGCTACGAATGAGAAAATGAGAATGAAACAGGCAGACGTGCGATCGTCGTATTTTTCGACGCATCCCGCGTATGCACGAGAGGAAAAAAAGAGAAAAGAAAAGAGAAAAAAGACAAGCCAGGGCGTAGCGCGTGGGGCGTTCGGCTTATTAGTGATTTCACGCCAAGCGGACTGCACGTGTAGTAGCGGATAACACAGTTGTGACTCTTGTTATGATTTCCATCGCGGCATCCAAAAGTCCACAATACGACTGCAGTGATGCCTATTCTGGATCGTAACTCGTCATTGACTTCGCGCCGCCTCTTTACTGTACATATATCTCGTTGTTCATTTCCGGCCGACCCTGAACCCGCGACGAATTTTACAACAATTCATTCGACCCAGTCATATTCACTATCATCGTTTTATCAGCTGCACCGTTGCCCTTGCTTGATTCTCTCGAGTGCAATTATTAGCGGTACTGTCGTACCAAATTTCAATGCTTCTCGTGTGTCTTGTCGTGGCACTTATCGTGAGGGTGCTAATAGAGATCCAGTCTTCTTTATCCCGTTCCTTCGTGAATTATATTTTTACACGCACAGGCAACATGTTCACGCTCATGCTTCCACAATACGAACCTCGATCCATCAATCAAACGTAGAGGAGAAGATGGTATTATGGCATCCCAGTTACATTTTATACAATAACTTTGTTAATAATCAATATTAAGTTTAAAATTTGACAATTATATTCGTTAAAATGTTGTTGAATCAATTCTTGACTCAAAGTTACGAAATATTTATTACTTAGGATACTATTAATAAAAATGTAGTGACATTTGCAATGACTCGAAGAAAAAAATGGGTGGTAATGTGGCCTTTTATAAAAATAGCCTTAAAATATTAATTTTGTTTAGAAAACAGCATTTGGTTACAAAATTAACAAAAAAAGTGAAACATTTTAAAATGTATGCAAATGAATGTATATATACATTCACATAACTTCTGTATATAAGCTGCTCGGTATTAAAAATCTCAGCACTAAAAATAGTACACGTAATATAAACTATAGATTAATCGTATAGCTATACAATCGATTATCGAATAATTATTTTGATATGAAAATCTCAAAAAAGAGGTTGTGAGTAATCAATATCCATAGATGGCCACATTAGCAAAATGCCATGGTATTGTTTAAATTTTCATAACTCAAAATATATACAGTCAAATAAAATGTTAAATAGCAAATAACACACTCAAAAATACATATATTCATGTGATAATACGCTCAAATTTAAGAAAAATGAGGAAGTAGGTGTAATTAAATGCTAAAGTGTATCTCAGAAACGTTTCGAAATACTTGAAAGTAAAAATGCGTTATAATAAGTGCTGGCTATTAAGTATTGGTAATGTTAGCGTCATGATGTAACGGTGAGCTACTGAACTAATAATTCCATAAGTAATCATTAGGATTCGCTATATAATAGCGGAGATATTAAGGGAGGTCACGATATGTACAAGGGTGGCCATAATACCATCTTCTCCTCTATCGAGACCGAATACGATCGCACGATATCTAATACAGATTTTCTCATAGATTCGAAGCCGATTGCGAAGCCATTCCAAAATGAACTGCACATATATGTAATTATAAGTCAAAACTAAATTTCGCAGCCATGGCGCTGTGTTCTGGACTATTGTCTTCTACATCGTCTAATTTGCGATCAAGCATGCGCTTTTGTAATTGATATATTCGAATATATTAATAGTCCTCCTTTTTCATTTCTTTTACTATAATCAGCAGACTAGCTCTCTTATTAATATATTTCAATGTGGAGATATTGCTACCATAATCTAGACTTGATACTGCCTTGCGTGTAACTGTTCTACTGTCTCCAATCCTACAAAGTATCTATTTCATGCCTCTATCATGTGTCATCCATCGTCACCCTCATGATAAGTTGAAACATTCGTTGTGCAAATTTTCATTGAAAGTGCGGCCGCGTTTGTCGAGAATTATATCGAGAGACTTATATCGATATTGCACGTTTATATATACCTACATGTTATATATCCAGAACGGGCTGGACGGTTCAGCCACTGCCAAGAGTCTTTTTTTTCTGAGGCCCGCATTCGTGGTCAAGTGTCTGGGCTGTGTGCCGAATAGAAGCAACGATTGCAATTTTCTAATGCTCCAACAATGTCGGACACGAGACATTACGCTAATTTTTCCCGGACAGTGATAATCTCATCTTGAGACAGAAAAATTTAATAAAATTAAAATAAGTTAAGGCCTTAACGTAATTTTCTTCCATACGTTAAATAATGCCACGTATTTTTTCTGATGATGATTGCAATCGATATGCTTATCGGCTAGATAGCTCGAAATATCGACTACGAATACAGGCCTAAAACGATTTCGGTGCTATGTACTTTGGTTACGATCAGAGCAAGGATCAGAAGAGAGCCGACGCGAACTAGAGAATAGTGTCAAGGGTCGTGAGACTTTGGAGAGGAAGGACGCAGGGTGATACTTCGTAAACGTTATCAGTTCGAAAGCGTGAAAGAAAGGAATTGAAAAGAAAAGCGCCGGTAGATAGTAGAGTCAATCGATCGTAGTCAATAAAGAGATTTCCCAGCTACCTTTCTCTCAATCTCTATTTTTTATTTCTTTCGTCCTGCGTCTCCGACCCTAAATCGATTCTCGCGCAAAACGGCAACCGTGAGAAAATCGACAAGCAAGTCAAGCCAGCTAAGATAGCCGTTGCGACAAAAAGGAAAAAAAAACGAAAAAGAAAAAATGAAAGACAAGACGATAAGAAATCGTGGGCGTCTCTTGTCCTCCTCTCTCTCTGTGTTTTCTGTAGGTCGACAAATCTAAACGCGTGCGGCGAGTCAGTCTCGACGCTGACCCGTTGCAGCCCGTTGAATCCGCAACTACCACCACCACCACAACCTCTTCATCAATCACCACTTCCTACGCAAGTAACCACCCCCGCCACTGCCACCTCGGAGCCGGTCCACGAGCAGGCCCCCCCGAACCGTGATCGTGACCATCACGCACTCCACCTCGATAATCGAGATTACGAGAGCGTGTTTATCATAGAGAGGCGGAACAGTAAGCCTAACCTCCGCTAGCCACACAGAAAAAAACCAAGTACTACCACTACTACTATTACTACTACTACTGCTACTACTACCACTACCTATTACTGCTACTACTACCGCTACTACTGCTACTATTACTACCACTACTACGTACCCGAGACCACGGTTGCTCCCAAGAACCATGAAAATAAGCTCCCGCCGACGGTATACGTATATGTGTTTGTGTGTGTCTAAACACGTTGTACCAAGCGGTCCGTCGATCGATCGAACGAACTGTCAGATCGATTTCATTCTCCGTCAGTCGTCGATCTTCCTCGGTCGATCGAGCGAGCGAAACGCCAATTGCCGGTGGGATACATGCCCGTTACTACTACTACTAGTACCGCTACTACTCTACCACTACTGCTACTACTACCTACTACTATGCGAGACTACAGCTCTGCAATGTTACCTGCTAGGACCTACTAATCTACTACCACCTACTACTATCTACTACTACTTAGGATGATTGTCATGACTGTAGATGAGATCTGCAATACAGGCAAAACAGCTAGGAGTTCACACTAGTAACATCCAGTCAGTACCCTAATACCTTCGTTCGACGGTCTTAGGGAGTACATAGATAAGGAAGATCGAGGCAAGGCGGTAGATTTCTTTCTCTTTTTTTTTTTCAATTCTTTTCTGCCGATCTGCGATAAATTTTTTGCGATTTTTTCACGTACTGTTCTACATTACATTCACTGTCATTAATATATCGATCTACATTGCTTCATTTATGTAATATTTCGAGAACGAACCGGAAGTAACTCCCAGCGCGGTGTCCGCCTCTCTGCCAATCTATTATCGTGCTTTACTCATTTCATTGCTCTTTTATTGCGTGTACATATTTCTTCGCTCTATATAGGATTCATTGTCACGCGCGCTTATTATTATATAAGCATAAATTGTTATTACCTACTTTGAGTCAATCTATTCCTTCATTCTTCACATTATTGCTTCTTTGTGAAAATCATCATTATGATATATCTTCTTTCCTTTACCAAATTACAAAGTGTATAACTTATCTTTATATTAGTGTTTAATTTCCTTTTTTATCATTAACTGGCAAATTTGCGCCAAACGCAATATGTTCGAGAGGTGCAACATCTATTTAACTATTCTTTTCTTTCTCGAAAACATTTTATCTCAGAGAGTGCAGTAACTATTCTAAATGGTTTTCAATGTCTTTTATATGAAAGACATCTATATTTTATTATTTTCAAACCCTAGCTTTCAGATAGATTGCGCCTATTGAATAATTCAGTAACTTTATTGTGTTCTCTTTGCGATATTTTTAAACTTCTTTATCTCATATAATATGCTTAATATCTTTTTATCGCTAATGTATTCTTTGCCGCATTTGCATTCACTATTTTGCAATTCTTCATATTTAATTTTTATTTATATTATCTATTAACATTAAACTATCATTTGTATATTTCTTTTGCTTTTACAGCGCTCAACATGATAGCAATACTTTTCAAAGTATGTCATATATTTCTTTATATTTTTCTTCTATAAATATTTTCACATATTTACACATTTTAATTATTAATATCTTGCAGATTATTATTATAAATATGACACTAAGAGGTATATCAACAATTCAGCATTTATTCACATTACTGTATCGCTTGACTTTAAAACTTTCATTATGACGACGCTTTCATTTATCACTTATCTACTCAATTAATTGTTAATTGACAGATAAATTTGCGGCGACTCGATGTGTTGTTCATATAATGAATTTTATTCCACATCATTTATCTACGTTGTTTCTTTCGAAAATTATTTCCGTAGAAATTGCCTTGTATTTTAAAAAAATAATTCATAACCATCGAGTTTCCTTATGATAGTTACTTTTCTTAATTTTCATACACCGCGCAATGAACATTTCTCTTAGATGAATTCTTTTAGCAATTCTTGGATGATTTCTTTTAGCATCTATTAAACATTACTTCATAAACAATCAGCAGAAAGTTACTGGTATGTTTTCATAACTTCTCGCATAAATATTCACGTATAAATATATTTTCATCTATCAGAATTTGTAATAATTGATCTGTTTATAAAGATTATCCAGTAACTTGCTGTATATTTCTAGATCATTTGAGCATGTTATTTAATATTACATAACGTTTACAAGGCATCTCTAATTAAAGACGAGTCATAATAATATGTAAAGAATTTCGAAGCACATTTCACCAATGCCGTGCTTACCATACCGTTTCACATTACTAATCACTAATCTTAACTCACGTCACATCACGGTATTAATCCACAATATTAGTCTCTTACAACGAGCAATTGCTATTCTCGCAATACTATCCAGTACGATTCTCTGTCCATACATACACATCGCATGTAACACGAGCATCGCCTTTATATTTCGTCATAGATGCGGAAAACAATATTCGTATGTCCGATAATAGTCGACTGACGAATTGGTCGTTATATCGAAGAAACGTTTGTCAGAGGAATCGAATAAAACTTCGATTTGTGCGACACCAAAGATTCAGCGGCATACATATGGCACGTCGGGCTGCAACGATTATTGCGGCGCGCACGGCCACGACGGAGCTCTAATTCAAGCTTCTTGTGTTATTTGATTGTTTCCAGTTTGTCGATTCTAGATGACCAATAAACAGACAGACACGCTCTCACGCTTACACGCGAACACGCGGCAATAAGCAAGGCGGAGATAGGTAAGCCGCGCTCGTTGCGGCCACGCGAAAACTTGTATCCACATATACATATACTCACCGTTGTCGTATCCACCTGTTAATCGTTCACGATGCCTCGTTGCATTATCCCATTCAACCCGTTAAAATTGACGTACACAGTTAAACCGACCCTGCCATCCTTAAATCCGGCCTAAAATTGATTTCAACGACAGTTCGCACTTTTATAATTTACTCGATTGTGTCATAATCTTCGTTCCTACTTTTCTCTTACAGGATCGAGTGCTTCGAGGAGAATGAACATTAAATAACGTATAAAAAATTCAATCAGGTTGTTCAATCGACGTTGCTACGTTTACAAGGATTATCCCATCAAAATGTAAATGACAGTTTATAAATCATATCGTAATTACTCGCGATTTCTTTATTACGAAGCACTCGATCGACTATTCATATACTTGTGCCTCATTTTTCTACATGTTTCGCTATGTCTTTGTTATTTCTTATAATAGTCTTTTCGAACGAGGAAACAGTGTACTGTTCAGAACGCCTTTCAACTTTCGTGTCCAATCCGACATTGATCGAGTCAAATCGATATATGACGATGAAACGCGTCTCCACCGGACACCCATAAGACACTATTTATTATCTATTTGCTCCCTAACACCACCGCCTAGAAGTAACGTTCGGTTATTTAGCGTTATATTTCTTATCATTATCGCTACGATATATTGTTTTTTGTGAATGTAATCGTTGTGTTACAACATTCTCTCTCCCCCATCTTTCCTTGCTGCCGGACCCGAAGGAGGAGAAAAGGTGACGAGTTTCGGAGCACCTAAATCCACAATTGCTATTCACTGATTGAAATCAAAAGAAAATGCAAAAGAATCGCGCAAAAAAATATCTATGAGGACGGAACAAAATTTTACGAGCAAAAAAAAGAAAAAAATATATAAGAAAAATATAAAATTCGTTTTGTGAAAATTAAAGAAAGAAAAAAGATCCATTCACTGCCGAGGCCAATCTATCCACAACCCACGTCACGCCCGACCACTCGTGCACCGGAATGTGCATGCGCATGCCTTCCCTGCCTGCATCCGTTATTCGTTATTATACGTACGAGTAATTAATTATTGATAATTATCTTGCCATATTTAACTTGAACATTGGCATTTACGTTACGTTTGTTCTAGTACTTTATTTTAACTTTCGTTCATTAACGTTGCGTGTCTTTTGCCATTCGTGTTGCACGTATTTATCGTATCCAAACGGCCGATGGACCACGTCGGAGGAAGAAGCGAATAATCTCAGAAGTATTTGTTTTAATAAACAATTTCATCAAATGAATTAGTTCCGCGACACTTCACAAATAAATTCGTAGTGGATACCGAAATTTCTCCACAATATCAATTCGAAGGAAATAAAAAGAAAAAGAAAATACTAAAATTAAAAGAAGTAGATACTATATTTATTATACTAAAATAGCTTACAGCAATAATATCAACGTTCAACAATCACCTATGTATGCCTTTTTATCATTTAATGCACACTTAAATTCGTAATATAATAAAAATTATATATTCATTTTGGAGAAATTTGGGTACTATGGAAAGCAGGCGATAGATCCCGCGTGAATCCTATACGCCAAGATCATCCTCCGACGATCTCGATCGGACCGTGTCTGCCAACTACCACCACCGTGATTGCTCTAACGCTACTTCTGTCCTATAGACCTAGAAAAAGCCGAGTACCAGGTTTAAGCCTCCTGAAGGAGATCCTGAGCCCGGATACCCCGGACTCGTGCCGCTGTCGTCCGCTGGGCAAAATCTCCCGAGCGGCCGACGGCCGCTTCGTCGTGGCGGATTCGGTTCTCAGCTCGGCCAACAACAGCATCCTGGACGTCTCCAGCAGCGACGACGGTGGATTCCTGCCAAAGCAACGGCTTAAGTCCTCGTGGCGACGCCCCCTGGTTGGCATCAGTCAGCTAAGTCTGAGATCCGACGGTAGCGGCGTGTCCATAGGTCCCCTGCCATCAGGTTGTCATCATGGCGTTGTAAATCCTTTGGCGAGGATACCGCCCGCAAATGTTTGTACGATCACGTCACCTAGGTTCCTGGCCAGTTCGCCGAGCGGGGCTCAGGTCCCCTGGACGCCTTTGTACTTCAGCGATCTCAGCTCTGTCAAACAACCATCCTCTGGCGAACGTTCTTTCCCGACGCCACCCGGCTACCTCCAGCTTCGCAGCGTGCATCAACGATACAGCCAAGAGTTACCGTCGCTTAAGGCGATTCATGCCGAGTCGAGGCGGTTCGTGCCGGTTCAACCGTTAGCAACGTCTTCGCCGCCGCAGCCGGCTGGACGACCTAGGGCGAGGTTGCCGCCAAGACACGCCAGGCACGCCAGATCGGCACCAGAGCTCGCTGCCTCGCCCGACCTGGAGACTTCGCCTGAGAGCAGATCAAGTAGTTCGGGTTTCGGCAGCAAGAATACCTCGCAGCAAAACCAGAGCTCAAGAAGTGGTAGTACGGTCGCCGAATGGAGACCGCCACCTTACAGGCCACCTCCGCCGCCGCTGGTGGGTCGCTGGCTTGAGCTTCAGAATCAGGCCAAGGTGGGACACACGCACATACAAAATGCCGTGGACGCCGGCAGCGTTGACGGCCACTACGAGTTCGATCCGGTGTCGTGCACGCCGACACCAACGTCGGCCTCGACGCCTACGCGGGAGGAGAGACCGCCGATGCATCAGATCCATACGATCCACGTTCCCCACATCCATCAAGTGCACACGGTACATCAACAGGCACCGAGGTATAGCAGAGAAAACATAGAGGCCCGAGTACAGGCGATGAAGGCGGAATTTCATCAGTTTCGGCAGAGACAGGCGAGAAGACGACAGAGTGCGCACTTGGAAAGTGCATGTTGAAAAATTTGAAGGAGATCTTGACGATCGATCAACGATTCAGTTTCATTAGGACCGCTGCAACGCAAGTCTAACGATCGAGTTGAAACGATTCGAATGGTTGCAGAGTTAAATACATAATGTGTGAGACGAAAGTAATTCTCAAGAGAAGAGCTAAGAGAAATCTCGGAGGAAGCTAGATATCGTTCGCGATTAGATTTTGGTACTGGCTTTCGACTACCGTAGAAGATCGCGTGTTTCAACACGGCGACGACAACGTGATCATCACCGAAGACCAACCACCGCAGCACAACGAGGATCATCATCACACGTGATTCCGCATTTAGAGGAGTTTAAGTCAATTCTAGTAGCTGGTCATCCATCTACAAAAGGAGGCTGTTATAAGCATCAGCTCAGGATACATAAGTTTCGCACGACCACGAGACGGGAGCGACGTAGTAGAACTGTACGTTAAGACGATAATCTTTCGGAGTTTCGCCCGTTTTACCATTTAAGAGGACCGAAGAGTATCCTACGGGGGAAAAAAAAACAATCTCGATATCATTTATTCGGGGGGGGGGAGGGGGGGCTAATAACCCGGCGACGCCGATCGCGCTGGGACGATAATAGAAACGAAGTGCGTAAACGAAAATGTTTGAAGCCGATAATTATTGGTCATATCCCGCGTACACCAACCACGCCTATGTCCGGTTTAGAGGACCGTGATTTTTAACGTTACTATATATAATAATGTAGAGGAACGTACGGAAGAATTAATTCACGGGGGACGAACAAGAAGAGGACGCTCTTTTTTTTAAAACTCAGTGGAACTGTCCTTAGAGCTAGAAAGTGCGCAGAAGAATGAGATACACTCCCGATTGGCTCAAAGGGATGCTAACTGTATCGAAATCGTCCCGTATCACGATCGGGACGAAAGATGATGAGAAGGGAAGACAGAAAAGCAAAAAAATGGAATAGTTACGTCGGCATGATACTCCAAAGAAACTGTACCACTGTACATGCTCCGCGTATACCTTTTAAATATAAGATTAAATTTAATCGTACGCTGTAAGTAATAATTAAAAACGAAAGCAAAACAAAAAAGTAAGATAATCGAAGAATTACCACACACACTCACATACGTACACTCACATATACACACAAACATACATGCATAAACACACACACACACACGCACGCACGCACACACACATACACACATATACACATACTCATACAACACACACAAAATAATTATATCGATGAGCAATGGACTCGAAACGTGATATTAGGCCGAAGCTTGCCTCGAGATTGCTTAAGGACTCACTCGTACTGCACTGCCTGTTTAGGGTTTCGCTAGCGACCCAACATATTATCGGCACAATAATTTTTCTTAAGCAACGTAAAAACGAGAAAATAAGAATAACATTCTTCGAATCTACACGTTCGGCCAGTATAGCACGACGATTGTGTGTGCACGTTCACCACGTGTGTCACTTTGTTGGTGACACGCTGGTTTACCGCCTATCGGCACTTCGGTCGTTCACCGGTCATCCTTCTTGAATTAGATTAGTGACGCGAGCACGCGCATCGACGACGAACGACGTCGATTGGACTCTTAATAAAAAAAGAACAATGAAAATCATTAGGAAAAAATCCTTCAACTGCCAATGAAAAATGAGTCCGATAGTGCGTTCGATTCATTTCGTACGAAGTGTTGACGTTGATTAAATAACTAAAATTAGAGTAATTAAGTGGAGAAGGACGACCGATAGAGACATACCGCCATCACCGCCGGATGGGAGGTGCACGTGCGCACACACGCGCTGGTCGAACCGAAGTTCGTGTGTAATTAGAGAGACGAAGGAGTTATAAAACACGAAAGCGTACACACCATACACACATGACAGACACACAAAGATACATACACTCACAAGCAACAGACAAAGAACACACAGACGCGCACATAATACAAGAGAGGCGTTCTTCGAAACCCACCTAATTCTCACCAAACGCATCGGATCATCTTGAATCACGTGAGATCGAAGGCCGGCAATCGCCGATCGCGGGGGGTTCTCGGGCGAATCTACGGGCTAATCAGTATCGAGCTGCGCGACCTAACACGAGAACATATACCCTGGCGAAGGGGTAAATCTGCGTGCTCGTTTTCCTCTTACCCTTTTTTTCTAATTTTCTCTACACGTGCGACCGTAAAGACACCCCACGTGGGATCGGCCCGGCCCGCGACTCCCGGCGTTTTACTTTCTTTATAGTACAAACACTTATTTATACATACGTACATATTATACATATTTATTATAAATATTAGCAAGGGCCCTACTCACGATTCAACTATACTTCGACGAACCATAACGGCGAGAGGAAGAGGACGAAGATGCGTAACAAGGAGCGGCGTGGACGCCATCAAAACGCTCTATACAATTTTTGTTAAAATGTGCATGTATGTGTGAATACGAAGCCGAATTCAAACCGAGCGAATGTGAACAAACACGAATGAACAATCCTTCAATCAGAATCGCATTCAGGAACTTTATCCGGGTTTATCCAGGTATTCTATCTTTGTTGTTCACTGAATGTTAAACAAGGATGAAGTAATACCTAGGTGCATCCGAGTGGCGCTTTATAATATCGCGATGCCATTTACATTCGTCAACGTTGCTCATTCGTGTTTGGTCACGATCGTCTGTTCGGCTCGGATCTAACTTGACGTGCAAGAAAAGGTGAACGTGCAAGAATATGTGGACGAGTGAATGCGGAGTAAGAACGAAAGTAGACTAAAGCCGGATCTAGATCGAATAAACGAGCGCGAACAAACGCGAATGAATAACTTACTTCAATAATTACGAATCGACGTTACGAGTACTGGCAGCTTCACTCGCGCTCATTGAAACAAGTTGTTTATTTGCGTTTGTTCGCGCTCATTTGCTCGATCTGTATCCGTGTTTTACACGTGAGCAAATGCTGTTGTTACGACAAAACAGAGAGCATAATGTAACATACACGTCACGCAAAGATAACAAAAGAATAAAAAAAAAAGCATACGATAAAAGTTAAGAAATAACGGAGGTGACACGAAAGAGTACCAATATTCTAAAGTAATTCTAATGGTTGAATTAATAATTTGATAATTAATTGATATTGTAAATCGTAAACGACGTAGCGTGTAGCGTATTAATCAACGAGAACGACGAACGCGACGAGTATTTATTAATTAATTATTATATCCGCGCGGGAGTATTACGATGTGAGATAATATGTGGAAGGACGGGGGAGGAGGTGCTGAAGGACTCGCGTCGGCAGAATGGTACCAATTTTTATCGTCAATCGCGTAAAATCGTTAATATGTTACTAACGATAAACGTATTGGATGCGTGAGAAGTATGTAGTATTGAGGATGTAAGAGAACAAATCTCTGTCGAATCAACGTTCACTGTAGACGTTGGGAAAACGTTCTTGACAACGTGATGATAATACACGTTTCGTAATCATACATTATACATGAGAAACACCCTCTCCCCCTTCTGAATGGATGCAGCAAAAGGAAGAATCATGTACGCGAGAGAAAGTGATCCAACCAACTGACTTGTAGATGTATAAGTAACGTGTAGATATATCATAGTTAGATACAACGATCTCAAGAGGTCACGCAGTGTGGATGAGTGTGATAACATGCGAAAATGAGATAGAGAGAGAATGACTGAGTGAGTGAGTGAGTGAGTGAGTGAATGAAAAAGAGAGAAAGAGAGAGAACGCAAGAGAGAATGAGAGAAAATATGAGAGTAAAGGAAGAAAGATATGGGAAGTAAATAAAAGAATAAAAACCAAAAGAAAAAAATCTTGAACAATTCTTCGCATTATCTTTGAGTTTATCACGCAGCGCGAAAAAAGCTCATATGATAAAACGAATATGTTTACAACGCATCCGAAATACGAGGGAGATCTAGAAAAATCGTAAGGTTGTGAAAGAAAGCACCGTATGATTGTGAGAAAAAAAAGAGAAAGAGCGAAAATGAAAGGAAAATGAAAGAGAAATGTGATTCGCTTAAAACGGCATATTTATGGATAATATGGTTGAATCGTGAATCCGTTTGTAAAACTTTATCACCCGTCACGACGGTTTCGTTCGTCCTGAGTTTCTTCTTCGCAACTCGTGTGAATTTACGTTTATCATCGTCACACACACACATCGCGCACTTTTTTCGTTCGCGATACTCGTCGTTGCATTTACGCCGCGCTGTCGCATACGCGTGTAACTCGCGCGAGGCCGCGAGCGGCCGCCGTGATTCGTGGATTAATTAACTAATTAAGCGTTTCGTTCGTTATATGTACCTGAAAGCCAGTCGTGGTTTCGGCTCATTGCCCGAAGTCGCTCGAGCGAAATTCGTGAGCCCTCGAAGCAGGACGTTCGCGATTTTGAAGAGTCGGCGATTTTTGGCATCGCGGATTATGTGCAGCTTCATTCGTCACGGAAACGTACGCTTATTTCGCTTATTAATGAGTTCGTGTATAAATTGTAGATAGCCATAAAAATATATTGCGTAAATACATAAATCGCGAAAGCTGTAGATATATCATATGTATGAGAGGCGAACGCGATGTCGATAACCCGTAATATTGCATAGATAATCGCGTAAAAGTTTTAATATATAGCTCGCGATCTCATCGTTAAATCACGATCGCATTCCCGCGAAACCTTGAAAATAATCCTCAGCGTATTTGCAATGATAAGTAGTTCGATTCTTCGGCGTATTTAAATTGCAAAGAGAAGCAAACAGCGACGATGCTGCTTCGAGGTACAGTGTTCGCGCCGAACAATGCGTGAGAGATGATAATTTGACGTAAAATATATGCTAATGCCATACTATTCACAATACCGATTGATCGGATTTCATGTCCTTCGGTCGACACGAAAGACACGTTCGAGTCGAATTCAATGGCTCTCGGGTACTCCGTTTTGCTTGGATCTGCGACCATCCATATGCGTTACGACTTGTTTGAGATCTTGTATAACATGCAATATTTTCCTGCAACAATAACCATTATCGAATTCCCTTTTACAATCGAATGGCAAATCTATGCGCTCTCGTAAAACTTGGTAAAGATCGTCGCGGCTCCAAGCACAGCTCTCATCTTCGAGTGCTCTCGCATCATCGTACATCGGCACAATTGCTATTGCAACAATATTTGTTGCGCCAAATTGAATTCGAGGAAAATAGATAGAGCAGAGATTTTCTTTTTTTTTCTTTCGTTCTTTCATTCTACTATTAATTTGTTTCTTGTTGAGTTATCAGAATGTGTGGTCACACTCGTAATCGTTAGTCTTCTCACGCCCGACATCGAATCGCTTTACACACGCATGTAACGTTTTTCTGTATCGTCTGTATCTTCACTTCCGCTTATTCTCGACTGTATCCACCGTTGGATTTACACAGTGCGTTGAACCGTTTCGTTGTCACTTTCGCGAATGTTCGTTGTTCACCTCCATACCCAGTTTGATTGATTGATCTATGCTTTCTCGCGAACCCCCCACGAGAATTCCAAGACGTACTAACTTAGGACAAATTGTAGACAATTTATTATTAAATAAAATGAAAAATAAATCGACATTTGAAACGAAATGGGCAACATTCCCAAGGCATTTGCATTGTATTGATTTACCATTAAACACGTGTGCGACGAATTTCAGTGTGGCGTCCTTCATAGAATATGAAATACTGCTGAATCAGAGGTACGTATAAAAAAGATGATATATTGATAAATGAATAAGTATTAGTAATAATTATTGTAATATATTGGTACATAAGTAAGTTAATAACAATCATTGTAATATAATATTACAAGTGTTTAAATGAACTGTTAATACATCGAATACCGTTTTACTTGATATAATCGTTATCATTCAATATTTAAATTGTTAGATATTACTCGCAACGCACCGCATTATTCTTCCCTAACTAGAGAATTTCTACGCTCTAGTAATAATATAGAGTGTAATTGCTAGTCAAGGTAATAAGATCATTGTCAGAATAAGAAAATCGGGTCATCGGATCATCACAGTTGTGTATAAGCATTAAAAGCTGCGGTATTCCTTAAAAATTGATTCTATCCTCCGTTTTTTATCCGTAAATCTTTCCTCCTCTTTCAATGATATAAAAATATTTACAAAGTAGGAGTGAGATTAAAGATGTAAATGAGATATATCTATTTATGATCCCAGACAGCACAGAATATAGTATTTCTTACTTGGATTATAATGTCTCATTAAGTATTTTCATAGCATTTACTATAACATTCATAATAAATATTTCATAATATTTATAATAAATATTTATGATTTGAGTAATCTGAGACCACAAAAATATTTACAAAATATTTAAAATAAATCTTATAAATATTTATAAATATTTTGTAAATATTTTGTAAATATTATGTGCTGTCAGGGATACCCATCTTTATTTATAGCGTTTGATATGTAAATCACGGCGCGGCTGCAATTTTCTTGAGGAACCGGATAATTGAATGTTAAATATATATTCCATGACACGTGTACGTAAGATGTCTGGCACAGATTACTGCAAATTACCGTCATTTTCATTGTTCTCTCTCGGCGTACGCCCAACGTGGTTTTATTGTCAAAAACTAGAATGATACTTACAAGAGGAGGTTCTTCATCAAAAAGACTTTCCTCGCTTTCTGGATTAATTTTTATATACTGAATGTCAATTCAAATCTTTTGATAGAGCTTTATAAATTATTTCTTGTGTTCGCCACAGAGGAAAACGTTTTCCATTGCAGAGACGGATTCTCATTCTTTTTATAACTGTTCGCTACGAGTTCGTTTCCCCGGTGAGGAATCATGCGCCTTTGTGATAAAGTACTCGAAAAATTTCCAGCAGCAATTCGATTACACAGAATGATAAAATATGTTCTTGTTCCTCGTAAATCGTCTTACATCGTAAATCTAACGTAGATCTATCGCGCGGATTCTCAAGGGGTAATATTTTTCTACGAAAATTCTAGAGAATCATTTTCTCACCTCAAGTCATTATTACGCCGAATAGATATTGCTGCGCACAAGAAATAATTGATTAACCATAAAAAAAATTTAAAAGTTATCAATCAATCTTTCTGACATAAACTGCCTTTTTATAATACTAAATCTGCACTTGCGGCCGATTGGAACTGTGTGGCGAACTGCAGGTTAGCGAACTGCAAATAGATCATCCCTATTTTATATATATATATATCATCTCTGTGAAACAGGTATTCTGCAATGGCAGATGCGATCAATTCGGATTACAGACAGGTAAACCAATAACGAGCCGTTCCCTCTTATCGTCGACGATGAAATAATACGGTCGGTATCATTACGCGCGCATTTATTTCCAGTGTCCCGGGCACGTCCAATCCTGGATCGTGATCCATGCGAATGGATCCATTATCTCAACAGCATGACAAGGCTGTGGGCAGTCTGCTAATGCGGCAAGGGACGGACGTGACGTAATCTGAGGTCACCCACGCACTGCTGCTTCGATGCAGTCTCGTCGAGCAATTTCGACACACGAATGGCATCGGGAATCGATGATCTCGCTACTCTGCGCGAAAAGTATTTCACTTTCGTGACATTTTACAGTTTATTTTGATCGCAAAGAATATTTTTGAAAAATTTACATAAGTCACATTATTGAGAGACATTTTTAATGTGAATTGTACAAATATCGCAGTTCAATATATTTACAGACGAAACGACATGTGTACTCTCTATTTCAGAGAATTTTTAATATATTTCTGTATTATTTTTAAGAATTTTTACAATTGAAAAATTTTACTATAAAGAAAAATGCAAGTAAAAGTCGTTTACTCTCTTCTTATTATTCTTAACAAGTTTTTTTACGAATACATCTTTTTATTAAATATACGTCGATAGAAAAAAGTCTTAATTCCACAAATGCAGAATTTACTATGGTAAACAAGTCGTAACCGGAAACTAACGTCTTAGCTAAAAGAGCTTCGTAAATGACAATTACGCGACGTAGGCGTATAAATAAAAGAGTTCAAGGGACTTCCCTGACATCGTGAGAGCTTTTCGCATCGTACTTTCTCGTATCCTTCTCCTATTTAAGCACTTTTTATCATGATTTGAATATTATATGTATAACAATTAAAATTGGAAAAGGCTCCAAAGATTAAATCAACAAAGGAAAGATAATGCCAATGAGAGCCGACACGTTGTACGCGTGTAATCTAAATATGATATATGTCAATCAACAATTACAGACGTTTCGATCATAGGATTAGGTCCTCTTCAAATATAAGTAACAAATATCGGAGTCAAGTTAATACGTTGTAAAAAAAGATAGGCGGATACAATCATTGAATCATCGTTAGATTGTTATCCAAAATTAAAACTTCATTGTCGTTTGTTATATTTAAATAGTTAATATTTAAATTTTTGAAATGCTTTGCATAGTCGATGAGTTATAGTTAATTAAATCAGTTAAAAAACTTACATTGTATTCAGCATTCGCAATGTTTATATGTACAAATGTTAAATAGAATAAGAATAAATACCAACATAAAAATCGATAATACAAATCTTTAACTTAAACAAGAAAACATCATTTTCTCTTAACTAAATCATGATATAACGGATCCAACAGTTCTGTGTCATTTTGCAAATTAAGTCCATTTTTTGTTTTTTGATATGAATAGCTTCAGAAATTAATCTTTTATTCAATACTTGTTCTTCGTCTAAAATTTTGTTACGGTTCCAATTGAAATCGTGATTGTGCTCAATTCTATGCTCTGTGATTACTGAGTGTTGTATGGTATTCTTATTTATGTGATTACGATGTTCATTAATGCGCGTTTTTAATAATCGTTTCATTTGACCTACATAAAACGCATCACAATTTTGACAAATAATTTTGTAGACCACATTAGAACGTAATAGTGAAGGTAATTTATTCTTTTGTGCTCTTATAAAGGAACTTAATTTATTGAGTCCTATATAGGCCAAACGTACACTGCTCGATTGTTTTTAAAAACCTTTTGAATTTCTCTGATATTGAAGGTACGTATTAACTTACAATTAGTGCTCCATTCTACGTTCTTTTCTTTTAACGAAAAATTTTATAAACAATCTTACGATGTTCCTATGGGGTCCCCACTTTCCCCTATAGTGTCGGCTCTCCTTGGCATTATCTTTCCTTTATTGATTATCTATATATATATATATTTTTCATATATTATTATTTATTAAAATAAAGTCAATAATATGTTTCGAGGTAAGAATATCCATATTTATTATCTCATAAATAAATAATTATAACACTGTTTTTCAATCTAAAATGTGAGTTGTGCAAATCGCATCTGCAGCCATCGCAAGCACCGTCGTTTAAAGAGATCAAGGATTCGTATATTCAACCGGGTGTAGTGAACTTTTAATCTCTACTTGCTGCTCCACACCGGGCTCAATCCTCTCGAATCAGCTTTGACCAAGAAAGAACAGCGATGAAAGAGCATGAGTCGGCGACCGAAGATAAATTGAATGCAGTTTAATTCTTCCGTTCCCGTTGTAAGAATGAACCCTTTTCACATGCTTCAACAACAACACCAAGGATTATACATCAAAAATATACTCTGGAGAACAAATTTAAATGTCACTTGATCATATCCCTCACGTTTATCTTTGACAACTGCATTGTGTGCTAAATGATTCATTTATTCTCGTATTTGAACATGACGTAAAGACACTTATTTATTACAAGTAATAAATGTTCCAACTATTTTTTATCATAAATAAAACACAGGGATTCCTGTAAGACATTGTATATACCATTATACGTTTTCTTTTCGGTTCTTTAGAATCTACAATAAAAACTAAAATTAAAACGTAAATACTGATTCCGCATTGGACAACACGCTCGTTTGAGGAAGTACACAGGGGCACGGCAATTGTGCTGTGTGATTCACTATTTTAAATGTTTTTTTTTCTTTTGTAGGACCAAATTAATCACGTATGATATATAGGTCACGTTTTGTGCAATGCCGTTCATTCGTATCGCCATGGGTGTGTCGAAGTTCGCCTGCATGCGACGCAAACCAGAGCATACGCACCGTAAACGTAGAATCGCGATGATCTCTCATCTCCCTCCCGCATCGTCATCGTCATCGGTCCATCCACCCTCGCAGCCCCCTCTCGGTGCTCGTTACTCCTGGCTCTTCGTATCCGCTCGGATTGAACGGGTACAGCGCGATTACTGTATCTAGTGTTGTCTCCGGAGCACTCTACGGTGAGTCCAGCCTCATCTCGTGTCAAACTGAACGTCGTTAGACACGGCGCAGGATATTTGCGAACGCGTTCTCCAATGTCAATGAACTCGACGGTATTCTGGATGAAGCCGTAAACCAGGACACGATAATCTCGAG